CCGTTAACGGGTCGGCCGAGTAACGGGAGCGGTGGAGGCGGAGAACATAGGGTAAAGTTCAGGCTCTGCCTCCAGGAATCCTTGTTCCTCCCCTGCCTCCTGGGCACAGGCCGGTGCTGAGTGAGTGCGAGGTCATCTCAGAGAATCACAGAATGGTTTAGGTTGGAAGGGACCTTGAAGATCATCGAATTCCAACCCCCTGCCATGAGCAGGGACACCTCCCACTAGACCAGGTTGCTCAAAGCCCCATTCAAAGCCTTGAATCCTTCCAGGGATGGGGCATTTACATCTCTGCAATGTTGCTCTCACTCCACAGCTGTGAAACTTTGCCTTGCTGGAATCAGGAACAAGAAGACTTCTAAAAATATTAAAGAAAAATAAGCATGTATTTTATTTAATCCTTTTAGCTAATCAGTATTCCATAGATGTGCTCTTCTGACAAACTAGCCTCTTTGTGCCACCTTCTCATTCAATGTGTATACTTTGTTTATCCCCCTTTGCTGGTCATTATAGCATCTCTTCCTCTTTTTTTTTTTTAATGAAAAAGAAAAAGATAACTGTGGAATGAGATCATGGCTTGTGATGTAAGCATCTTAGTATAAAATAACATAAAGCAGTAAAATACACGCATTTCACATTGTTTAACCAGTTTCTAGAAGTACTATTTATAGTGTATTTTCATTTTGTCATCCAAAGGGCATTGACAGCAAGACAGCAGAATGAAGACCAAGTGCTGTAGTCGGTTTATGTTTTGCTCCAAGACAACCATCTATACCTTTTTGCTTGGAGGAGTGTTTATTGCATTGGGCTCAAGTCGAATCCTCCTGATGAAGTATTCTGCCAATGAAGGTGCTGTTGGGCAATAAACATAATATGCTTCAAACAAGAAAGAGTTGACTTTTGGGGTAAAACTGATACCCAAAAGCCTGGTTCTCCATGTGCACAGTCCTTAGAATAAACATTCTGTTATATAGTGACATGTATTTCTGTACTGGAAAATCTCTGTATAGTCACCAGTCTAACATAAAGTGATAACTCGGGTTGCAAGGTGTATGATCCATGTGGAGATTCACCCTCAAAAGATGAGGCGGTGAATTATTTTGTATCTGATTTTCAAAGACTAAATTGTTCTGTAGGTGCTATCGATGGTACATGTCTTGACTGAAATATTTGTCTTGCACCAGCCTTAGGAGAAAAGTAGTATCATAGTGGGCTGCTATAACTGTCTAGTATTACTGTTTCTCCTTTTGCCAAGTATTAGCAAAATATACTAACAAAGAAAAGATACAGTCCTAAAAGAGGGAGGTTGTGTCATTCTGGAAGCTATTTTATTGTGAGGGGGAAAAAAAGCATACTGCTGTTTGGGGGAAAACATTCCTTTTTTTTTTTTTTTTTAAATGGTGATGTTCTTGACTTCTTCCAAAAAGTTCTGCTGTAAACTGGGAGCAAATGAGGAAAGATTTCAACCCAGAAAGGAGGCTGTTCAGGAAGCTGTATATCATAAAAATTGGAATATTTATAATGAAAGTGCTGACATAGCCTTTTGTGTTTATGGGAAGTGGCTCAAATTCCAACTGGAGGGGTTAAAATAGTTTCTTGGTCTAATTATGAAAGCAGGAGACAGAATCTGATAGTGTACTCTATGATTTGCTGAATCCCACAGATAACAAATATGATTACCTTCCTACAACAGTGAACATATGTTCT